CCACCTAGATATCCTAGCTAGATATTCTAACCAGGTCCACATATATAATCTAGCTAACTCCACCTAGATATCCTAGCTAGATATTCTAGATAGCTCCACCTGGATATCCTAGCTAGATATTCTAGATAGCTCCACCTGGATATCCTAGAGTTGAATGGGTCTCCCAGTATCTTAAACTAGATTTCCTAACTAGCTCCACAAAATTTTACCGCATTAATCCCAGAACTCTAGTTAGATTTTGGTTAAACTCCCTCTGCAGTAGGAGGGAGCAATTACACGATTTGAATCCTTACAAATTATAAAATATTAAAAGATAAAAAATGCTTAGATTAATTTATTTGAATTACAAAATCCGAACAATAAAGTATTTTTCTCCTATGCAACAGGTAGCAGGAAAATATAGTGAGGACAGGATAGTGAGGCCAGGATAGTGAGGACAGGATAGTGAGGACAGGATAGTGAGGATAGGATAGTGAGGACAGGATAGTGAGGATAGGATAGTGAGGACAGAATAGTGAGGACAGGACAGTGAGGACAGGATAGTGAGGACAGAATAGTGAGGATAGGATAGTGAGGACAGGATAGTGAACACAGGATAGTGAGGACAGGATAGTGAGGACAGGATAGTGAGGATAGGATAGTGAGGATAGGATAGTGAGGACAGGATAGTGAACACAGGAAAGTGAGTACAGGATAGTGAGGACAGGATAGTAAGGACAGGATAGTGAGGACAGGATAGTGAGGACAGGATAGTGAGGATAGGATAGTGAGGACAGGATAGTGAGTACAGGATAGTGAGGATAGGATAGTGAGGACAGGATAGTGAGGACAGGATAGTGAGGAAGGATAGTGAGGACAGGATAGTGAGGACAGGATAGTGAGGACAGGATAGTGAGGACAGGATAGTGAGGACAGGATAGTGAGGACAGAATAGTGAGGACAGGATAGTGAGGATAGGATAGTGAGGACAGGATAGTGAGTACAGGATAGTGAGGACAGGATAGTGAGGACAGGATAGTGAGGACAGGATAGTATAGACTGTATAGAGAGGACAGGATAGTGAGGACAATATAACCCAATTTTAAATATTTTGGCAAGGAAGATTGTATCTGTATTCCTCCCTTGTAGTTTACTGAAAATGATTTACTGTAAAGCGCTGCCAACTACTATACAGAGGAAAATTATAAGTTGTTGGTTTAATAAAAATCTGGCCAGTGTTCTTGAAATATATTCAGGAAAGAGAGAGAATGGGAAGAGTGGAGGGTTGTCCCACCAAATATCATTCAATCAGCAGAATGAGAAGAAGAAGTAACTGGTACCAACTTGTCTAGAGTACCCAGTTGTGAGGTCCCATCAACTCTGATGCATATATAACTCTTTAATTGGAAAGTTACAAAAGAAAAACAAATTCTTTTCATTTTAAATCAATCAATTTTTTAAAAGCAGTAAGTCATCAGTTATTACAGCCCATAAACTCATGTTCTAAAAAATTAAACCGTCCTTTTATTTTTCGAATGTGAAAATGTAAACAAACGTCAAAACTGGAAATCATTGTAAAATGTGTTTCCAGAAGGGAAAATATTTTGCAGAATCATCATGTTTTTCCAATTTTAGTTTTGAATACAGAGAATATTTCTCTACTTTTAGTTAGATTGATCTATTTAAAGTATTCAGACTTTTATATCTAAGTTTGTCTGGCGTAGAATTAATTAATTAATTAGATTTATCAATCAACATTAAACAAAAATGGAAGATCAATTGATCAATTATTCAAAAAACAAGTATTCAAATTTTTGATTAATCAGATAAATAATTAATCAATTAATCAATGAGTAATGAATTAATCAATTAATCATTTGATTAATGAAACTAATTAATTAGCCAATTAATTCATTTATCGAACTAATCCATTCAACCATTGGTCAATCTATTAATTAAACAATTAGCTACTTAATACTTAATCAATTAACCAATTGACCAATTAACCAATAAATCAATTAACCAATAAATTAATTAACCAATAAATCAATTTACCAATAAATCAATAAAATCAATTATCCAATCTATTGATTACTCAAACAATCTATTAATCAATTTATTAACTAAGCCTAGGTAAATTTGTCCGGTAATCAATCAACTAATAAATCAATTAGTTCAATTATTGATCAATTAATATTTTTTTGTTAATTATTGTCAATATCATTTTACTGTTACTGCTGGAGATGGGAATTTACGAGGTTATAGTGAGTATCCAGCAATTGATATTGCAAAGGGATTTTAATGTCATTCATCAGAGGGATGGCCCCATTCATAGGGGCCATAATCTGGGCTCACGCAGGGTCTAGCTTCTAGGGACCATGCAGAGTGCATACAGGGATTTAATTCCAACCACCACGCATATAGGGGTTCTTTTCCTCTCTTTCAGAGATCATGGATGTAGGGGCTCACTAAGGGGAACCTTGCATATAGGGTCTCACTTCCTGGGGCCACACTAACAGGGGTTCACTAGCTTTTAGGAACTGCATATTCAGGTGTTCATATATAGCCAGGAACCACACATCTAGGGGTTCATATATAACCAGGAACTACACATCTAGGGGTTCATATATAGCCAGGAACCACACATCTAGGGGTTCATATATAGCCTGGAACCACACATCTAGAGGAGTTCGCTGTCACAGGAACACAATAAACATGGGAATTCAGTGACGAATTCGATATCGTCTTTGATATGAATTAGCATTGTAATACCAGATTTCAAAAGCCATAATATTATAAAGTCTGCTAGAGTTTATTTTATGAAAACGGTAAATGGCTGTGAAGATGTGTCTATGATATTTTTGCAAGATGAACAGTAAAGACGGACAAGCTTACTCTGTTTGTATACTGTACTGTATACTTTCTTGTACAACCGTATGCAGTCAAAACATAAACAAACAAATTGTAAACATAGCAAATTACAGATTACAGTTATCTCAGTAGGTATCATTATACTAAATCAAAGAAATATTTAAAAAGACGATATCGAATTCGTCACTGAATTCCCATGTTTATTGGGACACCCTGTACTTCTGTTGGAGGGGTACAATTCAGTTCTAACTTATATTCAGGCCAAAGTTTCTTAGAAATTTTCTTTTTTCATTTACGAATAAAAATCCCGGAAACTGCTAAAATTACCATTTTAATTTCAACAATAAGTTGAAGAGAAAAAAAAAATGAATCTACTATTCTATCATTTCTATCTCATTTACTTCTTTAATTTTTTAATTTTTAATCAATTTTTCTCAGATTCTATTAACATTTTTTGAGACTCAATATTTTAATTTTAACAAAGAAAACTAATATTGCAGAAGATTTCTTTGTTACAATCCCCTGAAATATAGCTTAAACTTAGTATTTTTAAGTAAAAATCAGCTTTTAAATACCCCATAAAAAGTGCTTAATTTGTGTTTTATTTCAAGCATAGAGATATCTTTCCTCAAAATATTATCTTATTTAGTGTCTAGGGTTCGGACTGCAGAATAGAAATCTCACCCGGAAATGAGCATAATAAAACCAGAAAAAAATAAATCTAAACATATTTCCAGGAGGAAATATGCTTACATGAGAAGGATAAGTTGGTATTCTATCTTGATCGGAGAGGATCCATCCAATCCTATTTAGAGAACAATATCAGGACTGTATTTAAGGAGAATAGAGGATTAAGGAACAATATCAAGACTGTATTAAAGGAGAAGAATAGAGGAGTAAAGAACAATATCAAGACTGTATTTAAGGAGAATAGAGGAGTAAAGAACAATATCAAGACTGTATTCAAGGAGAATAGAGGAGTAAAGAACAATATCAAGACTGTATTTAAGGAGAATAGAGGAGTAAGGAACAATATCAAGACTGTATTCAAGGAGAATAGAGGAGTAAAGAACAATATCAGGAATGTATTAAAGGAGAATAGAGGAGTAAAGCACAATATCAAGACTGTATTAAAGGAGAATAGAGGAGTAAAGCACAATATCAAGACTGTATTCAAGGAGAATAGAGGAGTAAGGAACAATATCAGGACTGTATTAAAGGAGAATAGAGGAGTAAAGCACAATATCAAGACTGTATTCAAGGAGAATAGAGGAGTAAAGAACAATACCAAGACTGTATTAAAGGAGAATAGAGGAGTAAGGAACAATATCAAGACTGTATTAAAGAAGGAGAATAGAGGAGTAAAGAACAATATCAAGACTGTATTTAAGGAGAATAGAGGAGTAAGGAACAATATCAAGACTGTATTTAAGGAGAATAGAGGAGTAAAGAACAATATCAGAACTGTATTGAAGGAGAATAGAGGAGTAAAGAACAATATCAAGACTGTATTCAAGGAGAGTAGAGGAGTAAAGAACAATATCAAGACTGTATTAAAGGAGAAGAATAGAGGAGTAAAGAACAATATCAAGACTGTATTCAAGGAGAATAGAGGAGTAGAGAACAATAGCAAGACTGCATTCAAGGAGAATAGAGGAGTAAAGAACAATATCAAGACTGTATTCAAGAAGAATAGAGAAGTAAAAAACAGTATCAAGAAGAAGAGAAACAAAATTACCAAAAACAATTACAGATAGTCTAACAAATCCATCCTTCTGCAATACTTCCTATGCAGACCAGATCAGTGACTTAGATATATTAGAGAATTCCTTGCGCTTTGTGCCATTCTTTAGAATTTCTTTTTTTGTTTTATTTTGTAAAGATTACAGTTTTTATAGGAACTATTAACATAATTTAATTGAAGCTCCATTCGGTCCAGCCAAACTAACCGACCACATTTATGATTTGCACTTTTATTTTATAAAATGAAAATTTATCAAAGTCAATTAAAACTTAAAATCTCATTTAAGTTGTTTTAATAAAATTCTTTGATGTTTGTTTCAGTATTTTGTATGTAAAATATAATTACAAAATTATATGTAAAATGAAATTATTATTTATGATTATTAGATCTAGATCTAAGAACTTACCAATGGATCAGATAGAACCCAAGTAGTCCAGTTCTCAATATTTAATATACACCTACTCAGAACAGAATACTCATGTTGTTATACATTATATAATATAATGTGAAAAAGGTGAAGTAGGGTATGTAACGATGTTTCAATTAACTTTTTAAAGTTCAAAAATGGTTAAGCAAGGAAGGTCAGATTTGATATAATGTAGGTAGATTGTATTTACTACTGTATAATGGATTCTGAGTATTATAGGTCAGGTTGTATATAATATACTGGATACTGGATACTAAATACTGAGTAATATAGGTCAGGTTGTATAAACTACTAAATACTGGATTCTGAGTATTATAGGTCAGGTTGTATATAATATACTGGATACTGGATACTAAATACTGTGTAATATAGGTCAGGTTAAATATACTACTGCATACTGGATACTGAATACTATAGGTCAGGTTGTATATACTACTATAGGTGAGGTTGTATATACTATTGGATACTGGATACTGAGTATTATAGTTGAGTTTGTATAAACTAATGGATACTGGATACTGAGTATTATAGGTGAGGTTGTATTTACTACTGGATACTGGATACTGAGTTTTATAGGTGAGGTTGTATTTAATACTGGATACTGGATACTGAGTATTAGAGGTGAGGTTGTATATAATACTGGATCATAGATACTGAGTACTATAAGTCAGGTTGTATATGCTACTATAGGTGAGGTTGTATATACTACTGGATACTAGATACTGAGTAGTAAAGGTCAGGTTGTATATACTACTGGATACTGAGTAATATAGGTCAGGTTGTATAAACTACTAAATACTGGATACTGAGTAATATAGGTGAGGTTGTATTTACTACTGGATTCTGGATACTGAGTAATAAAAATCAGGTTACATATACTACTGGATACTGGATACTGAGTATTATAGGTGAGGTTGCATATACTACTAGATAATAGATACTACGTATTAAAGGCGAGATTTTATATGCTCTTGGATACTGGATGCTGAGTATTATAGGTAAGGTATATACTACTGGATACTGGATACTGAGTATTATAGGTGAGGTATATACTACTGGATACTGGATATATACTGAGTATTATAGGTGAGGTATATACTACTGGATACTAGATACTGAGTATTATAGGTGAGGTATATAATACTGAGTATTATAGGTGAGGTATATACTACTGGATACTAGATACTGAGTATGGTTCTGCCTGACTGTGTGCTGACTTTCATCATAACGAAGTTCAAACAAACTTGTTCCGTTTAGGGACATACCGTCTTCTACCAGGGTTCTGTTGGATAACCTAAACACATAGATTATACATAGACATAAATATATATATAGATAGATATAGATAGATAGATAGATTGAAAATTTTGAAAATCTACAAAACTATTTTTATAAAATCCGCGAAATTTGTTGTTGATTTTGTTTTAAAATGTATCTAAAAAGAGAAAGTATTCACAATTGAAATAGAAGATAGGCGCGAAGCGCTCAAAAAGCCTAGTATATACATATATACTATATATCTATATATAAATTTGGCTTGTCTGTTTGTTTGTTTGTCTGTTTGTTTGTTTGTATCCAATAAACGTCAAAACGGCTGAACCGATCGGGCCCAAATTTTTTGTGGGACATCTAGGGAGCCCAGGGAAGGTTTATGAATCATCAAAATTTCAAATATTTGTCTCTATCAAAATTCGATCGTCATTAAATTTTTTAAAATTTTGAAAATCCGCGAAATTTTTTGTAAAAATCCGCAAATTATTTTTGTTTAGTTTTACGATGTACACAAAGAGAACATGTTTACAATTAATTTAGAAGATGGGCGCGAAGCGCCCTCTAAGGCTAGAAAGAAGGGCGCGAAGCGCCTTGAATTTCTAGTATATATATATATGGATATACACTGCAGATCAAGGGCAAACAGAAGAAAGAGAATAGATGAAAATACTCAAAGAAATAAAATTCAAATCAGGAATCTATTTTATCATCAATTTGTCTGTCTATTCTTCAATCTCTTTAATTTTTCATTCATCTCTTTTTTTCTCTCTTTCTTTGATTCATAAAACACTAGCTTGGAAACCCAGCTTTGCCTGTCAATCAAATTTTCTCTTTAAAAGCTAACCCACTTACTTAAGAATTGGTAAACCAAATTAAGAAAATTCTCGTGGTTCTACCGGACCAAGGTGTCTTATCAAAATTGCAATCAAATCGTCCAAGAGGTTCATGAGGTTTGATTGTACATCCAAACAAACAGAGATCACTACACTTTAGCTATATAAACTCTCGGAAGTTTGACATAATATCGTTTAACCCAAAAAAGAATGACAGATCAGAAAGAAACAAAAAAAATCAATTAAGTTTTTTTTCTTCCTCTAACTTTTGCATTTAACTAAATATTATTTTTTCTAATCAAACCTAAACCCGAGTTCTCAATGGTCTGCAGAAGAAAAAACGTTTCACCGGATTTTTTGGATGATTTTTAAATTATATCTATTATATGTTTACCCTCCTATGATACCATTTTCATTTTTTATATTAAATGCTGTCATATTTACTGATATATCCCCCTCTATATCGATTTATCTGTACTTTATATTAGATTATATTTTGAGAAAGAATTCTGCAGAGAAATCATTTTATGTTTCCACTTTTAAGCGGATAGTAATACTTTATATAGTTCGGCATTTTGTATCTTGATTTTTGTTGTTCAAACTAAATTTAAAATGATGTAGTTTTCATCTTAGTTTTTGTCTATTACAAAAACATTTGTAACTTATTTATTTCTTATTCAAAACGACGAGACACTAATGAGACTTAAAACTGGTGAAATATTGGCCAAATAAGACCGAAATAAAAATGTGACAGAAGAGGATTAGGATTGATGCTAAATGTTTGAAAAGATATATAAAATAATGCTAAATTTTTGAAAATAGATATAAAATTATGCTAAATGTTTGAAAAGATATAAATGATGCTAAATATTTGAAAAGAGGTATAAAATGATGCTAAATGTTTGAAAAGAGATATAAAATTATGCTAAATGTTTGAAAAGATATAAATGATGCTAAATAGTTTGAAAAGAGATATAAAATGATGCTAAATGTTTGAAAAGATATAAATGATGCTAAATATTTGAAAAGAGGTATAAAATGATGCTAAATGTTTGTAAAGAGATATAAAATGATGCTAAATGTTTGGAAAGAGATATAAAATGATGCTAAATGTTTGAAAAGAGATATACAATGATAATAAAGTGACCAAATGAAACCAGTGTATAATGAAACATCGGTCAAAAGAGACAAAGAAATGATGACTAACTGGCCAAAAAGACTAAAAAAGAAAAAGAGGTGACCTAGAAAATAATTAAATTTATTTAACGATGAAAAATAAAAACGGGTCTTGATTTAAAGACATCAGCATGAAATTTGAAAGAATCGCAAATTCCTTCTCTGACTTTTTCCTTATTTATCTAACAATTCAATTTTCCAGGACATCTGTGTGTTTTGTATTCCTGCCAACAATAGAGAATATTGGATGAAAATATAAATAATTTGATAGAATGGTCCTCCTGCCCATAACGAAATATCAAAAAGGATAGGCTAACTATAGTGAAAACTTTATAGAAACAAAAAAATTTTAAACAAGGCGTTTTTTAAACCCCCTTTCTTTAAGTTCAATCTAAATTTCAATTTTCTTAGTCTTTTTTTCTGGTTTATTTGAAACCAATAAACGTCAAATTACCGACTGAACTAATTGTTTGTGGTAACTCGCATGATCGGCTGTTTAAGGTCGGTCAGAACTTAAGAATGTTAGTGCAGCAAAATTTTCAAAATTGACCAAACAAGAAAATCCACAAACTATTTATTGTTTTCGTTTTTACAATGTTCGAAAAAATGTAAATCAACTTTTCAAAGAATATTACTGGAGAGAGGGCCACGAACCGGCCTGAATATCCTCCCTAAACCTATAAACTAAAAACTGAATACTAAAAGTAGTCTTACTGCCCATTCCCCAATCTTACTACACAGTGATTTTTCTCCCAATTGAAAATGACATTTTGCTTTTAAGAGTTCGGCCTTTCAGCTCTACTTCAATAAATCCAACTTCTACTCTGGATATATGTATTGTATATACTTTATATATATATATAAAAGCTTGCAAATCAGGAACCTCAAAGCCTTCAGATCGATTATCGACTTACAATAGAGGCGTATACAGGGTTGGGGGCTTTTGGCCCCTGGATAGTAACATCTTTGGTTTTCAGGGGATTTTCGAGCCCAACGGACTTTAAAATATCTATAGTATTTTATATACATGTATTCAGAGTATATATCAAGAGTATATCTAGAGTATATCTAGAGTATATCTAGAGTATATCTAGAGAATATCTAGAGTATATCTAGAGCATATCTAGAGTATATCTAGAGCATATCTAGAAAATATTCTACATAATATTGTATACTTCGAGTATAGTGAAAGCTGAAATTGAAGAGGTTGCATTTCTCATTTAAATTCAAATTAGTTTCGTTTTACATCTTTATTTTATTTTCATGTAAAAAAGGAAAACTTGTATTTTCAGTTAACCTAAATAAATATTTTCCTGCTCTTTATAGTCGACTAACAGGACCTTAGAATTGTGCAAAGAAGTGAGCTAAGTTACAAAAAATCCTACCCCCCCCCCCCTTTTTGTTTCGCGGATAAATTTTAAGATGTTAGGTGGGGCCAAATTTAAAGAAAACATTCATGAAAAACTCTGAGTATTATTTCAAATCATTAATTATACATCCAACACATTTTGAAAATGTGTTTTTTTCATCTTATAAATGTTATCTGTAAATTTGATGCTCCAAAGTATATTCCCCCCCCCCCCCC